TCTGGCCTCTAGACATGGGTCTAAACGCGTTTCTGATCCCCCTGAATGAGCAAAGCATTAGCATGAATCCAGACACTAGCAGTAGGCCTCAGTACAACCTAGAACAGGCATCACTAAATTGCGGACAGTGGCCTGGATTCAGACCCAGTAAAAGTCCTATCTGGGACAAATAGTTGCCTGAGCATCCTCTCCCCGCTGCCGCCATCTTCCTCAAGGAAGTGCACAACATGGGAGGCGTGGCAGGTCTGTCCCTTTCATAACATTGCAGCACTCTCCCTTCCCACACTGTCCTACCTTATTCAGGCAAGACAGGAAGCAGGGCAAGTCTGGACAAAGGGCGGGACTTTTCAAGTTGAGAAGCAGGTGATTGGTTGCTAGGCAGCAGGGCGGTCCAAGCACCTATTCACCCGCTTTTAACATGAAAAGTCCTGCCCTTGGAAAAGGGACTGAGAAAACTGATGTAAAAATGCGGGTCTGTGATGTGAAAGGGGGGACTGAGGACACTGATGTAAAGATTCACACTTGTGTAGAGATCTCTGTTTTTCTACACTAGAAAAACACAGGTCTCTGGGGAGGCTGTGATGTGAAGGATTCAAGTCATAGCACCAATATAACACTCGGACCTCCGCTGAAAGAAAATTTTACTGATTAAACCCCAGTGAATTTAAATTCAGTACCCTTGACCTAGAACCATCGTCCCATTGAATTCCAAACCAGGGGACGCTCCTATAAAAAGGTCTTCTTTGAAAGGCTTTGCTTCCGCCAAAAGAAAACAAGCTAACCCCACAAGTCACAAGTGATGTGCCCCAAGGGAAAAGATAAAAGGAACAGCTGAAGAAAGTGCCAGAGGAATAGAATTGGCCAGAGAACTAAAAAGAGTTGCTCTCTGTATCTGAATGCCTGAAAGGCAAGCTACCCATGGACCCCAAAAGGGTTCTGCTAAGGAAGAATCACAGATGAAGAAGTGGGGTCGCACTTTTAAGTAGAAAGTTTACCCACTGGCTTAGTTGGTACTTTTCTGCTAATTTAGAAGGAATGTTAGCGTCTGGATTAGAAATCTATGGGCACCTAATACAGGGGATTAGCCCTGTCAGACTGACGTTCTCCACTGAGGCTACACGTGGGCCCAGTGGCCAGCTATGTTACTGCTTCCTACACATCTAGTTTCAGCATTTATTTTTTCATCTACATTTTAGCTCAGTGGGCAAATTTGGTATTGCTTTTCCATGCTATTTTTGTTTGTTTCTTACCATTTAAGCACTACTCTGCTTTGATGTATATCCAATCATGGTTTCATTTTTGTGATGGACTTTATGTCAATTTTAATTGATTTATAATAAACAAACTACACTATTATGCACTTTTTGTTTTTGGGTGGCTTTATCAACATTTTTTGAGCCACCCCAAGGTTGGAACAATACCTCCGGGTGTGAATCACCTAAACAGCTGGAATCGCTTAAGGGAGTATCCGCGTTTTTCATCTTCACTGGATTCTGGTCCATTATGTTGTTTGGAGAGCTGCCTGATGTGTGTGAACCATTGGTGACCCCCCTAACCTTCTGATGACCATTACTGTAATGACTACGGGGTCCCGGATTGCGATCTGATATTTATTACATGCGCATATCCTTTGCGCTTCTGGTAAGTGCAAGCAGACTTCATTTACAGCACTAAGAAGTCACCTGCACTTTATCCGTTACTACTTTGAACACCCTGTGCTTATTGAACAGTGATATCATCCATTCACCCGTCTACTGGATTACCAGAACTCTACATTTTTTATGTCTTTTTGTGGTACAAGTTGTGAGTTTGAGTCATTTCCACTCACCTTGTGTATCAATATCATCATCCATTCACCATTTTACTTGCCATTTGATTTTTCATTTATCAGCAGTTTTATTATATTCTAATAACAAGTTTACATTATGAGCACTGCATACTTATTCTATTATTAGGTTCTCTGAGGATTGTGAGGTTTTTATCCTTTATGCTAGCAGCCTTCTTCGTCCATTTAGTGCGCTCACTCTGATCCTGTGTTTCTGTTGACCTAATACAGAAGTAGTTGCGAGAGGGATTGGAATCTACTGAGCTATCCCTTGACCTCCTGCGTATGTTTTAGTCTTCCATGTAATTCTTGATGATAGTGTCCAATGTAAGTCTGAAGAGACTATGTCCCTGAGTGGTTAAGCAAATCCTTGCTTGTTGGGATTGGCAACAGTTTTACGCCTCTGTGTTGACAACAGGCCCACGCAGAATGTCAATTTAGAAGATTGAAAAAGCATCCTAAAACCAAAGAAAGGTCTACCCAGACGATGGACTGATCCCTGAAGAGGAATCACATTCTAACCCTGTAAGACAAACGGTACAAAGGGCTGAACCTGACCTAGTAAACTGGGACTTAAAAAAACGCTTGTTTTTTAAAAAAAATTCTATTTGCTTATTTATTCTTCACTCAAAATGTACCTTTTTATTGCTTCCAGCCGCTACCAAATTATTTATCTTTGCTGCTGTGATCAATTTCCTGATAAGGAATGGCTATGTTCCTTGTGGTCCCACTGTATATAGGATTTTTTTTTTTTTTTTTTTTTTATGTTCACCGCACGTAGGCTTTAACGATTAGTTCCAAATTTGATTGATTTAGTTCTATGCAGTAATTGCATAGGCGTAGGCAGGGGCGGACTGACCATTTGGAAACTCGGGCACTGCCAGTAGGGGGCCCCATGAGATGCCCCTGGTACCTTTTTCATAGGCTTTTTTGAGTTTGGGCAAGGACACAGGGGCCCCATGAGTTGTCAGTCCACCCCTGGGCGTAGGGAACCTTCATCAAACCTATATATGTTATCTGTTTTATGATCTAGCACTTGAGTGGCATAACACTAGATCGACCAGAACACAACGGGGAGAATTTACCAAGACCGAAGCAGCCCTGAATGGTGACCAATCAGCTTCTAACTTAAAGTGGAACTTCACTTTAAAGGGGAAGTTCTGATTTGTGCCCCCCTCTACTTTTGGCTTTTTTTTTTTTTTTTTTTTTTTTTTGAGGGTGGGCTCAGTGAGAGCCAATTCCTCCAGGTTTTGGCAGGTACACGCTCCCACTTCCAGTTGAATAACCATTGCAATTGCACTGGAAATTCTCACCCTCTTCCTGCTTGCAACCTTCTAGGACATATCACAGGTCCCAGAAGGCTGCATGACCATTCACAAAGATTGAATTCACAGGTAAACATGCCAGCCATGTGGACCTGAAGACAAAAGAAGAACTGGCCCAGGTGAGGACAGTGCTGGATCCTGTCCTTTTAATAAGTGCCCATTCACACTTGTGCGACTTGGGGTCCAAAGTCACACCCCATGTTTCCCAATGAGTACCATTCATATCTGTGTGACTTCAAGTCGCAGCGACTTGAAAGTAGTTCCTGCACTACTTTGGTCATGCGACTTGAGGGCCATAGGCTTCAATGTAAACCCTCCTAATTCATGAAGTTGCACCTGAATGTTACACATGCGACTTGTGTGTAACTTTGTACACCACAAACAATGATCCTTGGTTAAAGCCAAAGTCACAATGAAAAAAAAAAAAAAGTGCACAATTTTGAAGTTGCACAAGTGTGAATGGAGCCTAAAGTGGTAGTGAACTCCGCTTTGAATCTTTTACATACAGGTAAGCTTATAATAAATCTTACCTGTAGGTAAAATAAATATCTCCTAAACATGCACTGTTTGGGAGATATTCACCTGTTTTACAGCTGGTGACATCACTGGCGTAATAGGAACTGCGTTTTGCAGGCACAGCATACTGAGTATGCCATCCCTTCAAAGCACTGTGCTGTGGCCCTGACTCCTGTGCGGGAGTGACATTATCACAGCTCGGGCATTCAAACAGCCGGAGCCCACAAACATGGAAGGAAGACCGGGTGAAGATGGAATCCCTGCCAGAGGTGACAGCGCACCGCTGCAGGGCTTTGTTTTAGAGACAAGTCTATCATAATGCATAACCTCACAGGAGCCTGGAATTTTCTTTTCTGGGCATTAAAGCAGAGCTCCACCCAGAAAGGGAAGCTCCACTTTAAGGACTGGTCCCCCGCTACCTGTTAAGGACTGGCACCTTTGGGGAGCGGGTAACTGAGATTGACAGGTACCCGCTCCCCCTTCCGCTGCGTTTACCTAAGCCAGGGGTAGGCAACCTGTGGCTCTCTAGCTGTTGTGGAACTACATTTCCCATGAGGCATTGCAAAACTGACAGTTACATCTATGACTTGCAGAGGCATGATATAACTTGTAGTCCTGCAACAGCTGGAGAGCCGCAGGTTGCCTACCCCCTGACCTAGGCGATCAGAAGTGAAAGTTGTCCTCCCCCCTCCCTGTAGTCTTCTGGGACATGTGACAGGTGCCAGAAGACTACAAGACCATTCAGAAAGGGCAGCGCTACTCGCTTGCGCAAGCTGTCACAGCCAAATGCCCACACCAAAGATGCCGGCAGCGGGTATACAGTGCTGCCAGTGGGGGGGACTGTGGGATCGAGAAACAGGCAAGTGGCTGTTTTTTAAAACATCAGCAGCTACAGTTTTTTCAGCTGCCGACTTATTTTTTACATCTTCACTGGAACTCTGCTTTAACTCCCCCTTTAAAAACGTCAGCACCTACAGGATTTGTATCTGTGGATTTCTCCAAAACAGACTGAAGCGCATCTTTCACTAAAGCTAGAAGCTGATTGGCTACAATGCACAGCTGCTCAAGATGAAGTTTCAGGAAATGTGTTTTCAAGTACACTTCAAGCAATGTCTTCCCCAGAAGCTCACACATCTTCCTGACCACCAACCTACAGACAGCCCCCCATATAAACTAATGGCCCCAATATACTAATGCTAGAAGAAACAGGTCATCTTTAACCATGGCCAGCAGGATATGAGCTCAGTGACACGAGTCAGGGAAAACCCATCATGCCTGCTCAGTGTCCCAGCCAAGTATCACAACACGTTTCCTGTCCCTACCGACTCACACACCTGGGTTACTGCTGGAGCTGGACGGGTTAATGGTGTTCCGTCCCTTAAACCGCGGCTTCACCATCTTGACGGTTCTCTCCGGTTCCACACACAGGCACAAAGCTTCAAACCCAGGGAATGTTCACACGAGGACACGGAGAGGCAGCCTCAGCTGTTTACAGGCCGCACTGAAGAGACCGAGCTGCCACAAAGCATTCCGGGTAATCACGTGCTAACAGGAAACTTCGTGCGCCATGTTTGGTTTGGGCAAGTTGCCCTTCTGGAATGTGAACAGTTAACATATGACAGTTTGGAACAAATTTCTGTAGTAGTTTTTTTTTTTTTTTTTTTTTGTAATTCAATGTTTGATTAGGATACGTTTCCCTTCTGCAATGTGAATATATATATATATATATATATATATATATATATATATATATATACACTAAAAAGTTAGTTACCAAAGAAATGTTCCCAATAAATATAACACTTCTATTATACCAACATCATTGCACCAATATAATAAAGAGAGGAAATACACTCACTGGATGCTGCTATTATTAAAAAACTCAAAAATAATAATAAAAATGTGGCCATGGAGGTGATACATATATAAAATTTATTTTTTTCATTTTATTTCAGGTACTTATATAGCGCTGTCAATTTACGCAGTGCTTTAAATATACATATATATATATATATATTGTACATTCACATCAGTATATGAGGCATTGCAAAATATATATATATAGATATATATACACACAGAAGCATACCTCGGTTTACAAATTTAATTCGTTCTGCTGGACCTTTCGAATTGCGAAAAATTCGTAAATCGAAAAGCAGTTTCCCATAGGAATGCATTGAAAACCAATTAATCCGTTCCGGAGGTCAGAAAAAAGTAAAAAAAAAAAGTCTTTTATTGTTCAAAACTCTTTAAAAAGTGCACTATAAAGGCATAAATACTGTACAGGGACATAATTAAAAATGAATTCATAAATGCATTGAAAACCAATTAATCCATCCGTATTGCGGGAAGAATTTGTAAACCGAGCCATTATTTTCAATGGATTTTCATATATATATATATATATATATATACAAACACGTATGTAAGTAGGTCAAGCGGGGTCAGCGTCTGCGAAGTCACAGAGTGCGGCGTTACAAGATAAACCGGAAAGATAGTTGCCAACTGTCCCCTGCAGAGTCATTACCTAAAGGATCTCCAAACTTCGTGTGGCCTTCAGGAATTAGCACAAACTCACAAACAACAGTGTGTAAAGGAGCTTCATGGAATGGGCTTTCTATGGGCTGTGCAGTCTGCATCCTAAGGCTTTACAATCACCACAAGTTGCACAATGCAAAGCATTGTGGTTTTAAGTGATTGTAAAAAACACGGCATCCCCCTTTGGGGGGGTGGTGGGGGGGTAAGGGGAGAAGCCCCCGGGGGGAAGGGCGTCAGGGGTGGTGGGGCCTTTTCGGGGCAGCAAAAATCCCCCTTTTCAGTCGCGGTTTTTGTTTTTGGGTCCGGGCTCGGTTTGGGGCCTTTTTAAACTTTCCCCAAAGGGGCTTTTGTGCCCCCAAAAAAACAAAATTGCCAAAAAAATTTTATGCGGGGGGCCAAAATCTCCCTTTAAGGTGGGGGAGGGGTTGGAAAAAAAGGAAGCGAGGTTTTAACCGTTTTTTGGGCCCATGCTTCAGGTTTTGTCTGCTTCGGCCGCCCCATATACTAAAAAATTTGGGAAAGGTTACAGGAAAAAAGGGTTTTGCATGGCCCCTTTCAAAAAGGATTTACCCCCCAAATTCGTGAAAGGGGGTTTTCCTTTTTTATTGGGCCCTTCCCCATTTTGGGGAAAAAAAAAGTGGAAAACCCCCTCAGGGGATTTTTTCCCCCTTTTT